TATTAATTTTAGAAAAAAGATGATGATGATGGTGATGATGATGATGGTGATTATTATTGAATTATTGCCTTAGGGGCAACCTTGGCTTCACAACTAAAGCCAGAGGGGGGAAGAGATCTGGGACAGCTCTTTTATCCATCCATCCGTCTTCCATTTATTATTTATTTATTTATTTATTTATTATTTTTATTTTATGTGTATGAGTTTGTTGCCTGCGTATATGTAAGTGCACCTGTGTCATGCAATGTTCGCAGAGGTCAGAAGAGGGCATTGTATCCCCTGGAACTGGAGTTATGGATGATTGTTAGCCACCATGTGGGTGCTGGAAACTGAACCTTGGCCCTCGAAGAGCAGCCAGTGCTCTTAACTGCTGAGCTTTCTCCCCTGGGACAATTCTTTTAAACAACCAAAATATTTTCTCATTTCTGCCAAACAAAATTTATTTCTAATGACCACTGTCTTGTATGAACTTTCTGTATATTAGCAAGGTATTCCATTTCTCCTTCGGGAAATAGTCGTTTTTTTCTAAGTTAAAATTGAGGAAATACCCTGGAGATTCTCCTCCCTTACTCACCATTATTTGAATTTTAAGTGTTTCCCACTGGTCCGTGTGTTAGAAGCTTGGTCCCTAGCTCGTGACACTCTGGGAAGATGATGGCACATTTACAAGATGGGGCCTTAGTGGGAGGCTTTCAGATCATTGAGTGTGTGCCTTCAAAGGATCTGTGATTTGACAGCCATGGTGTTCAGTTTCTATGACACATACCTGCAGTAAATCAATTGTAAGGATAAAATGCTAATTTTGGCTCACAGTTTTGGGGTGACCCAGGCTGGCCTTGAACGCTCATCTTTCTTCATCTACCTCCTGAGTGCTGGAATTACAGGTGTGTGCCTGTAAATGCTTAGTCTGGGTTTCTCTGTTGAAAGCAAGCTGCTTCATTATGCTTATCGGTGCTATTGGAAAGGAGTAAGGAAAAATTGGGTGGCTTTCTAATGAAAGGATCATTTTCAGCTTCATACCTACTAAAGCTGTAACATTTTCCACGCAAAAGTACTGTAATTGCATGTTTTCTTCTTAAAACTTTGCAGAGAACTTTCAAAAAGATATACTGGCACAGCAAAACAGACTGTTTTAGAGAGAATATTACTTATAATAAAAGGATAGGATTATGATAGTATGATGCATTAATTTTGGTTGATTTTTTTTTTTTTTTTTTTGGGTCTTTTTTGAGACAGGATCTCCCTATGGCCCCAGCTGTCCTGGAACTCACTATGTAAACCAGGCTGGCCTTGAACTCACAGAGATCTGCCTGCCTCTGCCTCCCAAGTGCTGGGATTAAAGGCATGCGCCACCATGCCTGGCGATGCATTAATTTTAATACTTTTTACAACTCTTGAGTCAAGATGAAAAAAAATATATATGGTTCTCATATGATCAAACTGAATTTATTAGATGGTGTATTCTTCCTTTCAGATGCAGAATCATAGTTAGGGTCTCTGGTATAAACGGGTACGTGAAGCTGTTTTCTACAGCATGATGAAAAATTCTTTAAAAATATTTTCAGTGGCGTATATTAATTATTCAAACAATAGGCTTTATTATGACATTTTCATGTATGTACATAATGTATTTTGATCGTTCTTACCCTGTAATGTCCTCTTGTCTCCTTCCTCTTACTCCCCTGCCCTTTTCCAACTATTCCACCTTCTACTTCATGTCTTGTGTCTGTGTGTGTCCCAGTGAGTTTCATTAGGGTCGTTTACAGGAGTATGGGTTGTCATTTGTAAGAATAAAAGTTCTGGGAGCTGGAGAGATGACTCAGTGGTTAAGAACACTGGCTGTCCTTGCAGAAGACCCAGTTTGAATCCCAGCACCCACATAGTAGCTAACAACCATCTGAAACTCCAGTTCAGGGGACCCAATGCCTTTTTCTGACCTCTGGGCATTTCACAACATGGGTGCACTTACATACATGCAATATACTTACATACAAGCACTTACATACATACAAGGTAATACACTCATACACATAAAATAAAAATAATAAATAAAGACTAAAAGTTCTTTCACTGAATAGCCTTCAGAGCAATGTAATAAAATGCAATAATTTGAATATTACAGTTTGGGTAGTATTTTGAACCATAGGTGGTATTCTGCTTCTTTAATAACAAATGGAGATGATCTAATTTCGTGCTTTTTATTTGTGTACCTGTGACTCCATGTATGTATGTGTCTGTACGTGTGGTGGGTGCATATTTTATGTAGAGGCCAGAGGTCTACCTCAGGTGTTGTTCCTCAGGAGCTATTCACCTTGTTTTTTTGAGATTGGTCTCTTGCTTGGCTTAGAGTAGACTGGTTGGCCAGCCAGCTGGCTAGCACAGCCCCAGGAATCTATATGAAGTTCTACCTTCTTAGCATGGGTATTTTTAAGCCCATATCATTATAACCTGATTTTATTTTATTTTATTTTTTTGGTCTTTTGGAGACAGGGTCTCCCTGTAGCCCCAGCTGTCCTGGAACTCACTATGTAGACCAGGCTGGTCTTGAACTCACAGAGATCTGCTTGCCTCTGCCTCCCAAGTGGTGGGATTAAAGGCGTGCACCACCACCAGCCAATAACCTGGCTTTTTTATGTGGGTTCTGGGGATCATACTCAAGTTCTGTTTGCCAAGGCAAGTACTTGGCCTTAAACTTCTCAGCTCCCTAATTCTGTTTTCTACATAGTTGCTTGCAAAAATTACGCCTGAGGGGCTGGAGAGATGACTCATCAGTTAAAGAGCATTGACTGCTCTTGCAGAGGACCTTGGGTTCAATTCCCAGCACCCACATGGTGTTTAACAACTGTTCATAACTCCAGGTCCAGGGGATCTGACACCCTCTTCTGTCATTGCACGCATGTGGTGCACTTACATACATCCAGGCTATACACCCATACGCATAAAATAAAAATAAAGAAATTAAAAATGTGTGCCAGTGTAAAATCAATCATTTGGGTCCAGCATTAACTTCTTCCCTTTATGGCAGTACTTTTTGTTATCTGCCACAATTTGTTCAGAAACATTTCTAAATACATTTTATAGGCAGGACTTGGTGGCACATGTCTATAATCCCATTAACGCAGAGGTTAAGGCAGGAGGATCAAATTGGAGGCCAGCCTAGGCTACATTGGGAAACTGTTACAAACAAAACAAAAATAATGCAGCTTTTGTTTACTGTGCTTGTTTTTAATTCTCTACAGGTTGTTAATTACATTGCCAGTTTTCCATGTTTTTGTGTTATTTGTATCAGTTCTGTGTGTTACTTGGTATATCATTAACATTGTCTTTTAACATGCCCCAGACATGGATGGCAGCAAGTGAAGCCCAAACCAAAGAAGGCCTCACTTGTACGAGTCCCTTGACATTTTATTTTATATAGGGTTCCCCCCCAATTGTGTAAAAATCAGGTCCTATAAAACCTGCCTTTTCTGCAGTTGGAAGACTGTTAGAAGATGAAAAACAAAAGTAAACATAAATTTTAATATTGTGATTAAGGTAAAAAGGGAGTAGAAATGGATGTTGAATGAGTTTGTGTGTTAGATTTAATTTATCATGATAACTGTCAGCCGTGCAGCAGATGTTTTGACTGTATTTGGCTTCTTGCTAAATTAAGCATCGCCAGTGGCCTGCAGAGTCTACATGTACAGTGGCCGGAGGTGGCGCTGAAGCCTCCTTTGATGTGTTACCACTGCCGCTTCTCTTGCTGTATTTAGGCTGTGGAATTGCTCATGTAAAAGTGAGCCTTGGTAGTAAATTGAAAATTGTGTTCTGTAAATCAACTGTATTGACCAAAGAGGCTTTTATTTCAGTAGGTAGTCACTTTTTATTTTTGGTTACTTATAAAGCAGTGGAAACAAATCAAATAAATAAGATCAGTTAGGGACTTATCAAAGCCTGAAGTCTAGAGAGAGGCAACAATTATACACAAGTGCCAGTTAAGCATGATGCCTGAGAAGATGTTTCTATACCTGCTTCTGATGAGGAAAACAATTGACCTATTGATTTGTCATATAAATATGAATTAAGAACTGAAAATCCTTTAGTGTTATTGAAATAACTCAAAACCTTCTTAATGCTTTTTACATGTACATACTCGACTGTGTCTTGATCCCACTTTATCAGTATAATCAGCATAATCAGGAACTGTGGGTCCTTTCCCCAGGAGTAAGGGTAAAGCATTCATCTGCAGTGTTCTTTACAAGAAGATCCTTTAAGATGGCAGACCTTGCAGATCAAACAGCCTCCCTCCCTGCCTGCTCACTCTTTCCTAGAACAGCATTTAGGTGTCTCCAAAATTAGACTTGTAAAGCAAGGCTCATGCTAGAACAAATATCTTGAAATTTTTTTTTTAATGTTTCCTTTTAAAGTTCTAAATGTCCTCTATTTAAAATGAAGTTCTTTTGTATTAGCCTTCTTTCATATGCTGGCTTTCACCAGACTGCAGGATTGCCTGATTTGACTTTCTAATGTAACTGTAATGAATCTTCTGGGAAGTCTAACGATTGAATGCACATACTCTGCAACTCCATTGTAAAGTATTCATTCAGTGCTGTCAGATGCTGCTGATTAAAAACGAAGAAAAAGGTGGGGGAGCAGAGTGACCCCCAACATACTAAGGCTGGAAACCAAGTGCGATCCCTCAGGGATCTCAGCCTTTATTAGACATCATGATTTGCAGTAACACCTTAATTAAATATGTTCAGTAACGCCTTAATAAAAACATCAAGCAGGGCAGAGGTAGAGTCGGCTTTGGAAAGCCAAAATTAGGGCATATGATTACACTCAGCTTTGACACATTTATTCTGAGAACGTGCTTGGGGGGAAAAAAACTGGCCCATTTGCACAAGCAGACAAATTGCTCTGTGTTATGCTTGAGTCCCCAGCAGAGTCAAATATTTGCTAGCCAGTAAATGTGGAACCTACATACAGCAGAGCTCAAATGTCTAATGGTGATCTTTCAGATGTGTGTTCCTGAAACACCTGGGCTCTTATTTAACAGCCAGAACATGAAGAGAAAGCCTTTTCCATGACATGTCGTAAGTAATTTATTCCAGGTATTTATAATTGTAGCAGTATGTGTTTGACTTACCTGTGTGAAAGAAATTGAACACCAGAATTTAATAATTAAGGATTTATAGTTAAAACCAAATGTTGTAATGAGCCAGATGCTGCTGCATTAAAATAGCTATTTTCATTAGCATTTTTAAATCCAAAAGAATTGAATATAAATTTGGAGTGTTTTGATTTTGATGAGTTAGCATTTGAAAATATTTTAAAATCTACACATAAAAGGTAGCTTTCTTTTAATTTTAGTGAAAAGAACACTTATACAGAAATACCAGGCTAGGTTAGAGGATTAAAACCTCTGATTTTAAAAAACCTGGATTCCTTACTTTGAATAACATTATAACCTTTACTGGCCTGTGAAAAGAAATGATTACAAAAATGTGTGCAATATGAAGAATTAATTTTACTTTTGACTGAAAAAGGTGTAAATCACTCAGATGGAAGAGGCAGTGGTAAAGAGGAATGGGAAAGTATGTTTTTATTTTTTTTCTCCTGTTATCCTAGGGAGGCATTCTTAATAATAGCTTGAGTGGTTTGATGAAACATCGAAAGGAGACTCCCAGGAGAGGAAGATTATACTGGGGAGAGATCTCCCTATGAATCATTTACACCAACCTCTTGCTGAAGCACAGCTTGCATTTTTAATGAAGGATGATTGCATTTCATAAACAGACCTTTAAAAATTAAAATAATATTGATCCATTTTCATTTAGGACTATTAAAATAACATGCCATACATCTAATATGTATGACAGATTATTATTACCATTAAACAATATTCAATTTAATAATTTCTAACCAAGTTTCTTTAAATAGGATTTTGATTAAAATATTTTTGGAAAATATTTTTATGAATATGAAATGATTTAGTTTGGCACTTTGTTTTTATTTTTATTGTGTGTGTGTGTGTGTGTGTGTGTGTGTGTGTGTCTTTGTACATGTGTGTACCTGAGGGGGCCAGAATCAGGTATTGGATCCTCTGGAGCTGAGTTACAGGCAATTTTGAATTTCCTGACTTGGGTGCTGGGAAACAAACTTAGGTTCTTTGGACGAGCAGGGAGTACTCCTAACCACAGGGCCATCTCTCCAACCTTTAGTTTGGCACTTTAAATGATTGTCAGCATGAACTGTCTCTGGATTTTATAAGAAATGTGTTGTTGCTCTGAACTTCTCTGTATTCTCTTTAGTTGTGTTTCATTTGATAAGACTCCTCTGTTAACCTGAATTGGTCTTGAAAGAATCATGGAAATAGTGTCTCTATAGCTCTCATTATTATTATTATTACTTTTTTTATTTTTTGGTCTTTTTTTTTGAAGCAGGGTCTCCCTGTAAGCCCCAGCTGTCCTGGAACTCACTATGTAGACCAGGCTGGCCTTGAACTCACAGAGATCCACCTGTCTCTGCCTCCCAAGTGTTGGGACTACAGGCGTGCGCCACCACGCCCGGTGGTCATAGCTCTCATTATTAATGACAGTATGTAAGTGTTCCCCCCCCATTCCTAGAGAAAAAACTAACATTTCTTTTAGGTGGAAAATTTAGAAATAAAAAGCAGTCAAAGCCAGGTGTGTTGGCTCATACCTCTAGTCCCAGCGCGTGTGAGGCTAAGTAAGACAAGAGAGTGAGACCCCATCTTAAGAAAAAACCCAGCCAGTGAGAGGCTCAGCACTTAAAAGTGCTTGCCAAGAAGCCCAAAGGCCCTGGTTGCATCCCTGGGTCTTATGGTGAAAGGAGAGAGCTTACTCCACAAAGTTGTCCTTTGATCTCCACATGCCTTGTCAGTGCACGCCCCTCCCCACCGTCAAGTACAGACACAATTTAAAAGGCAAAGTCAAAATTTAAAATTCAGCCTCACATGATAATCTTTTAAGGGACTTGTTTTGCTCCTACTTATGAAGTGAGCACAGTGCAGTGAGTCAGCAGAGACTCAGTGTAGTGGCTGGGCACAAATGACCCTTCTACCACTTCTGACAATGTCACAGGGAGACAAATTCCTTGCTCCCTCTCTCCATTTTTTTTTTTTTTTTTTGTCTTTTTGAGACAGCTGGCCTGGAACTCACTATGTAGACCAGGCTGGCTTCGAACTCACAGAGATCCTCCCTCTATCTTTTTTAAGTGTAAAATTGTGGTAATAATGGTGATCCTTGTGAGAATTATGTTGGTTATTCTAGGTTAGGTCCTACTGCGTATTCAGTAGCTATGGGAAATTTCCCATTGTCATTTAAAGTTATCTTTTGGTGTTTTTAAAATCCTTTGCCATTTAAATTTTTAAATTTTTATTATTATTGTTTTTTGCGGGGTCCTTTTGAGACAGGGTCTCTCCGTAGCCTCAGCTGGCCTGGAACTCACTATGTAGACCAGGCTGGCCTCGAGCTTGAAGAGATCCACCTGCTTCTGCCTCCCAAGTGCTGGGATTAAAGATGTGTGCCACCATGCCTGGCTCTTTTGCCATTTTTAAAGAAAAGTTACTTGGAGAATGATTCCATGAAGATACTACAGTCCAATGGTGGGGTTGGGTAATACTTCAGGTCTATGATTTCTTTTACTCTTTTTTGTTCTTTTTCTCTTTTTAAAAAATAATTTATTGAGAATTTCATAATATGTATAAGGTGTTTTGATCAAATCCATACCCACTCCCTCCCCTCCAATTCCTCCCGTATCTCCACATCACTTTTTTCGATAACTTCATGTCGTTGTCGTCGTCGTCGTCGTCGTCGTCGTCCGTCCTCGTCGTCCTCCTCCTCCCCCTCCCCCTCCCTCCCCTTCATCCCCCTTATTTTTTAATTGAGACAGGCCTCACTATGTAGCCTCGGCTGACCCGCAGGTC